TGAAGGTGCTGTTCTTTGTTCTTTAAAGAAAAGCATCATTAAACTGTTCTAACATCTTGCAGACCTTACTGCAATTCTTTCATGCCCTGAATTAATGGCAAATGAACACGGGCAATTATCAAGAAAAAAAGCTTGGATCATGCAGTGTAAGAGGCACTTTATTTCTTTGACAGCAGAGTTTATTTTTAATTTTTCCTTTTGCTTTACAGTACATTAATAAATGCTCTGGAGTGTATTTAGTATAAGTAATGAAATCTTAATAATACAAGGCTTCGCTACAAGCTTCTGATGCTTGCTGACAAAGAAGCAGGGACCTCAGGGGAGATTTTGTTCACAGATGCTTCCATGGAAATTAGCAACCTGTACTTAAGTGAAATTCTTCCCAAAAGTGCATGCTGCTCAGCTTATATAAACTCTGAATCTGGGAACCCTTTTCAAGCTAGTTTACAGACTTCGTAGAAATTCAGCAGAGAAACAGGCTGACTCATCCTCAACCCATCCTGAAAGAGGACGTCAGACTGCAGAGACAGCAGAAACTACTTCCATCCAACCTGGTTATAGATAGACCCAGAGCTAAAACACCAGCCTTTGTAGCGGTAGCATTAGTGACAGACAGTGCCCATCAAGCCCTGATTATAATGATAGCAGCAAAATCCCCACACCTTTCCTACAGGGACCCCAGCACAGCAAACATGCTGTTAGAGAAGAGGGGAGGCTCCAGGGCTACCCAGCCCCAGGAGCTGGGATATCACTGTTTGAGGTGATCTCTAGGACAGAAACCTCCAGGACTTCAGCAGGATTTCACTGGCTTTCACATGGCACACTATACCACATACATGCAGTCACTGCTGGTTGGACATGCCAAGAGTTTTAAAACCACTACAGCTCAAAACCCCCTTCTGTTTGCTGCAGTCTCCCTGGCCTCTCCCCACAGGAGGAGGAAGAAAGGGAGAGGACTGTCCCAAGCAGGGGAAACATACACTGAGGCAAGTGTTGGAAGTAGCTCTCAGAGCCCATCTATGCAATGTCACATTAATTCGGCTTCCTTCAACAGCAATCATGGGATGCATCAGGGTGGGATGAAGGAAGGAGGCCTGCAGTAATAGAAGGAAAATGAAAAGAAGATGGAGAACAAGTGTGAGAACAACTCTGCAGGTGAATTTCTAGTCACAAGGGAGATAAATTACAGCCTTCTACTTAATGCAGACAGCAAGACTGAAGTCAAAATGGAAACTGAAGCTGGATAGAGACAGCAATAGGCACACCAACCTCCTTATCTTCGAGCTGACATGATTCGATTTCCACCAGTGTGATGGAGTTTGACACATCCCTGTGGGGGATGGATGCACCTGCAGCTTAGCAGCCATTCCTTCAGCTGCACAACGCGCTCTGCATCGCCTGCCTTCAGCTCCTTTTTGACCAGTCAATTCTTGTGCTGAGTCAGACTTCTGTTTCAGGGTGGAAGGTCCTGGCTTAAAACCCTTCAGGTTATATTTTCTGATCTGTTAGGATTATATTTATTATAAACCTATCTACTGATGGCTGGTGGTTGTACAGCATCTGGCATGTTAAGGTTGTCATCCATGAGTAGATATCCTAGAAATTACCATGTGCCAGCAGTAGTAATAACAGCACAGTATAATAATTCTGGTATAAGATTCTTAAGAGCTCAAAGGAAAAATGCAGTTGATGGCATAAATTTCTACTAAAACCCCCGATAAATTCCCTGCAAGAAATGCAGAGGCTTTCTGACACACTCCTTCATTCCCTGTTTACAAGTCTGTGAAGGCTATAGCACAGTCAATTAACTAAGGAGTATCCATCCCCCATCTCCCTCACCAACAGACACAGCCTGATTTCCTGAACTGCATAAACATGATCCCTCACTAATGCAGTCAATATTAGTCACAAGAGAAAGCAACCACTCCAGACAAACTCAGGGCAAAGACTTTCCTATAATTCTTATCTTCCAGTGTAGCAAAGTGCCTCTGTTTGGAAAAATAAATAATAAAATAAAGAAGTCCTCTTAACTGCAGGGTGGTTCAGAGCAATCACATTAGAAAATCATTTTCTATGTCTGGCAGCTGCCAGCTTTCTACCAGCCAAAAAAATGGGAGATGCAGAATTACTTCCATAATGTCTTCTGTTACATTATTTCAGCTCAACATTTCTCATACCTGCAAGGAGTCTCCTCTGCTCTTAATTTGTTTCACTGAGGCATGGAGCTGACTATTCCCCATAGGAAGTGTTGTGGCATTGAATAGACTGCAGTTTGGGGAGGGTTTTGAAGTGAGGAGATGGCAGGGAGAAGAGGCACTTTGCCTTCAGATTCTGGAGAGAAAATGTGCATGTGAAACAGCAAATTTACATGACATTTTGTTGTGCAAGACTCCCTGTTTAATTCCAACTTTTAGCGCAATTTTCAACACATTTATAGGAGGCAGAGTGTTTTTTCTTACTTTTGACTTTGAGGTAATTACGTTTAATGTGTAAAGGTGTTTACTGACCTTCATATAACTTCTAGCAATAAACTTATTTTATAACAAAAGTACCTGGAATAAAGATGAGTACAAAAAGTCAAATGCAGACTAAGGGATAACTTCTTCCTGGAAGGATATAACACTCAGGGGCCAGATTCACACAGTCTCTGTGGGACCAAAAGGACCAAAGTCTGCTGATCTCCACAAATCCTGTTTGTGTCTCTGTAGCAGCCCTAAGGGGACTTCAAAATGCTGATGAATAGTAGGTTTGTGTTTCCCTCATGTGGAAGACAAACCAGCAAAGCTCCCAATTTTCTCTTCCCTAAACACATCCCACTCCGAACTGCAGCTGTGGACAAGAAGAGGCACTTCAACAGATGCAAGGTTCTGAGACACTCTGCACTAATTAAAATAGCCCTGGGTTCATTTTGTCTGCAACCACTCATGTCAATAATGCCTCTCTCCTTCCCAAACAGCTTCATTCCCAGCACAGCCCTTTCTGTCACATACTCAGCATAAACAAGCTCCTCCAGCTTTTACCCTCCTGCCCTTGGACCACAAACCATCTTTAAAGTCTCAGATCGTACTGTGCAGATGCATGTTTAGGAGGATTAAATACAAAGCATAGCTTTCCACAATAAAGTACATATAAGCATTCCCAGAACCAGACTCAGAGGCACCTGAAGCACTGTGCTGGAGAGATGTCATGATGTTGGGTGACTTCCAAACCAAGGATCAGCTGAGCACAGGTTACATACAGGTCCCTGACACTGAAATTCAACAGCAGCAAAACCACTCTGCTTGAACTGGAGCTTGAATCCTGCACCCCATGACTATAACCCTGAGGGGCTTTGGAAAGAGAAGATGATGCTGTGATGAGCATTTCCAAGGCCCAGACACAGATAACCACACTGCAGTAATCTTAAAAGAGCCACTGCTCCAAGTGTCCTACAGCTTTGCTCATCAGAGCTTGGCTTTTGGAGATCTTCCATATAACACAGTGACATGCAATTAGCTCTGAAGTCCTGTCCTAGGCCTCTACCTTGCTGAAAAAACAAAGAGCCCAGCATGGTTGAATGATATTTGGTAACTCTCATATTCAGTGAATTTTAGTGTCAGGGTGAGAAATTTGGTTGATTCCCACTGGACTAGTAATATGTCCAGTATCAACAAGGTTTTAAACCCTGATGTGACTTTCTGAATAACAACACATCAAACATGTTTTGTTTTGCTTAGGTTTTGTTTTGTTTTTAAATAGCGTTTAATCCACCCTCTATGTGGTTTTAAAAGCAAGCAAGAAACTGAATAAAATGCTGAGGCTTTCCAATCTGATTTAAATTCAAGACAGAAATGAAAGAGTGAAGGTTGTGTTTAGGCCATACAGTTAAGCTTAAAAGCTTTGCATAAAAGCAGGAGCACAGTATCACAGCCTCATTTTATATAGCATTAGATTGCCGAAGAACACTTCTTGTCATAGTGTGGTCTGTTACTGATACTTATTTGATAAAAAAAACTGCATGCCTTCATGATTTGAAGGAAACAGTGCTAGGAAGATGACCTACCCTCACCTGCATCAACCATTTTCTTACATTTATATCTTGCAGGTGTTGTTCTCCAGCCCTACCTCAGACAGCAAAGAAAATCAGCTCTGAATAAATCCCCTGCAGTTCATAACTTAGGAATACATTATGTGTTCATAACTTAGTAATACATTACCCCCAGTAAGAGGATTTCTGTGTAACCTGATTGCTCTTGGCATCATTTTGAGCAACAGGTCAAGGATTAAGCATTCCAGATCTCAGACTTCCTGCATTCTAATTTTGCCATTGATTTATTTTACATCACAATCTTATTTCTGTGCCTCGAAGACAAGATTTTCCTGACTAGATCCATCCTGCTAAAGCCTTCTGCAGTTTCCTCATTCCAGACTGCAACATAGACATGAGCATATGTATATAAATGTGTGTGCCTACAACAAGACAAGTGCATCACTCAAAGATGAGTTTTCATGGTAGACCTCTGGCTCTTTTGCTTGGTTCAGCTCACTGTGCAAAAAGGGGCCTGTGCTGTCTCTAGAGAAGGTCTGGATTTACAGTATTTTAACTCCAGCCACTGAATAACACTGAGCATAAACTTTCTATAAACTAAGATGTTGCAATAATAAACAGAGTGTCTTATACAACCGTGATTTTTCTGCCTGGATTTCAAAGATTTATCTGGTGGGTTGTTTGGGGGGAGTGGAGGTGGTTTGATTATTTTTCTCTATACAACCATGTGGATGCAGGTATCCATGAGCCCTTTGAATTCCTCAAATTCCTGAGCAAGGCCAGGTGCTTAAACATTTGAATGACCTCCACTGGAGGTGATTAAATTTTCTGAAGGAAAATGTACCTTGTTGTGCCAAGTAAAGAGACAATATGAATGGAAAGTTGACACCAAAATCTAGGCTCCTTGGTTGCCATGATACCTGACTGATAATACTGTCATTTTCCCTCTTTAAATCTAAGGCTTGCTGCTCACCTTCATCAGCACTGGTATCATTTTCGTTTTCCTCATTTCACTTAGGAAACCACTTCAGCATTTATCACATCTTTCACTACACGTGGTTGTAGACCTTGAAAATCCTGCTGTACCCAGAGGATCTAAATGTATTTTGAGCAATGCAGTGCAATTCAGCCTGAAAGGCAAGTAAAAATTATAGGCATCAGGAATATATGGAACACTAGCATTTTGCATGTGTACTGGCATGCTCCTTCAATCAAAGAATGATCACTGATTACCATAATCTTACTGCCTACCCTGAAACAACCAGGGGTATAACACACTCTGTTTCAAAGAGCTAAACCACAGGAAGTGTTTTATTGCACATGAAAAGTCTAAATCAGTGCTGTGAACGAAATCTAAATTTTTAGGGGTTTTCCCACAGTTATATTTTTTAAAATTAAACATTTCAAAGTTAATCAAATGATATTGAGAAACTGAGGCTGCTAGCACACAATTTCTAAAGTCTTAATATAAAAATTTATGATGTTCAAATGAAATGTTTTCATAAAGATCACTATCAAATGACAACATGGCAGAGACGAAGGGAGGAAATGAGTGGGTTATTTCTAGATGTATATAATTCCCTAGTGTACCAAAGACAGAGAAGCAGATGAATGTTTCACATCAAGAGCTGGAAGAGAGACGATACCTGTCACAAAGCAATGAGATGGCCAGGGGGACCCACAATAACTGGATCACTGGGTGATTTAGAGCTTGAGAGACCATGTTTGGTCAGAAGAAAGAAACAGTGTCTGTGGCTTTTCCTACAGTGAGCATAGGTAATAACCAGCACCAGCCCTGGACAGCAGAGGAAAAGTGGCAGCAAACAGAGCTGCATGTAGGCCTGAACCACCCATAGTGCCAAGACTTGTCTCCAGTACTCCCCGAAATTGTGATTGACAAGAATCAATGATCGTTTGGCTGTTGGAAAATAGGGAAGATGGAACAAAGTGTTTTAGCTCACCTCTGAAGCCTTTTATGCACATGATTGCAGCTCCAAGTGCTTGTGCTCTGACAGCCTTGGCCCTGCACCGTTCCTGCCCTACCCTCCCTTCGTGTCAGGCTGCACTGAAGCCCAGGGTCAGGAGGACACGGGGACCTCTGGATATCTGTAAGAGTGCCAGTCCCAGCAGTTAACTTCATGCACGGAATCAACTCCTCAGGAGCTCTCAGGAGCTCCTGCCACACCTTCAGCCAGCACCTGCTCCCTGTTCCCTCCGTGTGGGCAGGGCTGGCAGAGCTGAGCTCCCCAAGAGGAAATGGTGCATGAGCTCCATGTCTGGGCACCAGCAGGGTGCTCATGCTGAGAGTGAGGCCTCCAGATGAGTCAGGGGCAGGATTCATTCCTACACCGGTGAGAATGAAGGAGTATGAGCTGGAGCCAAAAATACCCTGTATAACTCCCCATTCCAGAGCTCTTCCATATCAGATACACTAATCTCCCTACTCATTTCCTCCTTCTGCTTTTTTCCTTACCCAATTAGCACCTCATTAACCATCTCCCTACAGAGCCCATAGTCTCAGCCATATTTAGCCCCTCATTACGTGACACATAGCTAGGTAATCATCACTGCAGGGGGATCTGCAGATGTTCTGCAGAAAAACACAGCTCTTCCAGCCATGACCCTGAGCTCTCCTGGAGATAATCTCTTTGTTATAATTTTGTACATTTTCAAACAGCCACAGGCAACATCATCCATTTATGGTTGTATTTCCTTGATGATAGAAGTGCAGCCACCTCTGCTGCAAGACGAAGGAGCCTATGGCTGCGGCAGCATCTTTTCATTTCTCAGAAATCAGGTTTCCCAGTTTTGTCTCATCTACTTATATTGGTGCTAAAGGCAGAGGTTTATGATCTTTCCCTTAGTTACTACCAGAGCATCTAAAAACTATCTTTCAGGAGCACAGAATTGAACAGTTCTGCAGGTTGAAGACAGTTGTGATAGGGACCATTGGAACAGAAGCCACAGATGAAATAGGACAAGTTGTGGAGAATTTCTTTGGCTAAAGTGGGTCAAAAGTGTTCACCTTTTATTTAAAAAAAAACACAACAAAACAAAAAAACATAACAAAATGCAGATTGTAGTTCTCAAACCAAGCATCCTGAAATTTGTGCCAGCTGTTTGTTTGGGGATCTGTTTATTTACCACCACACATGTATGGCAATCTGAAAATGAAGACTGCTTCATGGTCAGATCAGCAGGGAGATGCCTCAGTTTCCCAGAAAAACCCAGGCCTATATATATATGTAGTGTTGACACTCACTATGAACTGTCTTCAGTGAGGGAGTTCCCTGGAGAAAAAGGCATAAATCTATTGCTCTGTGGCATGTACACCTAAACAGACAGTGAAACAGAGTATGACACAGAGATGGTTCTTTACTCACTTCCAGATTGAAGGCCTTGCCTCCTGCATATACAACAAGAAACCATCACACCTTCCCAGTCCAATTCTCCCCACCGAATTCCTGAACTCTGGGCCTCCAAAGGTTTGCCTCATACAAGCTAAGCAATGTCCAGAGGGGAATAAAAGATCTGTCTTATTCTATTGCTCCTGTCTCTGTATAGCAACTGTTTTCTGAGGCAATGAATCAAAGTGAAATATAAAAAGAACACAAACTGGAAAAAAATACAGAGAGAATATAATATATATATAAGGAAGAAAGGAAAAGAGGACAATAGTCGATGGATCATTATTGAATGAACAGAAAAATGACTATATGTTACAGCCACAGAGTTGTTACATGACAATTGATCCTTGGCATTCTTAGACTCACAATAAATCAAAATATGATACTAAAGCCACCTGACAAAAACATCATTAGGACAGATACTGGCGTAAATACATGTGGAATGGCCAATTTACATCAGCCAATTTGCTTTACAATGATCAGCATTGCAGGTTTAAAGAAAATCCTTGAGAATGCAAAACAGGGATTACCCTATAGCAAACATTTCTGTCCTGCCCTCGAACACAGAGCAACTAACCTGAGAGTCAATTGCCATGACTCCAGCAACTCATGATTAATGTATGTGGTATGAAATATTCAGGAGAATATGGGTTAATAATGCCAGTACAAACCAGGAGAGACAGTCCTGCATTCATCATTTGCTAATGTTCAGCCTTGAGCAGACCAGAGTGGGAGACACAAGATAAATGACAAAGAGCCAGACAGGTTCATAGTTAAAAACGTGATAACTTACCACAGTCTTCCACTGGTGCTGTGCTGGAAAGGAGGGAAGATGATTTATTGACATTATCTTGGTTTGTTTTTGTTTAAAAGCTTGGCAATGGAGACTGAATTGATACTGAAAAAGTCTGTGCAGGGTCCTGGTAGGAGATTTGACATATCCTTCTAAAATAGAGTTAGTAAATGTCCCTGTGCAGTCTTTCAAACAAAACAGAAAGCAAGGAGGGAAATGTTCTTTTTCTGAACAGTCTTTTACTGGTGCTTTCACCACTATGAGGTATATAATAGCAGAGGGAAGGGAAAACCAGTGAAACAGGTTGGTGTGGGGGACTCTAAAGTTGAATCTTTCTTCAGTGTGCCAAGCTGGAGGTGATGCCATTGTGGCATCCTTGACTTTTGCCATTCCTGTCAGTTGTTGAGGTGAAATCTGTGTTTCCCCAGAACCCAGACGGAGTTCATATTTGACAGGCTATTGAAGGAAAATTAAAGGACAGGGTAATGAGCTAGGCATCAGGCAGAACTACCCACCAGCAGAAAGTGTTACAGCTCATTTTTGCTTCTCTTGGGGTGAACTCTTGGTTTTCTTTAAAATAGTCCATATAAAATTTAGTCTCCAGACAGCTTCAAAAAATAACACAGGTTGTAGAGGGCCTCTTGTAAAAGGGGGTGAACAATAAATATTCATGAGTGAAAATTCTGAGAAATGGCTAAGTAACTCAGGCAGAGTATGAGGAGACAGCCAAAGATGGAAAAACCTCCTTTGGCTCAGTACTTTCTTCTGGGCAAGCCATCTGCCAGTGCCTGGTACTGGGGGCAAGAACAGGCTAAGAAGGCAAGTCAGAATCAGGAGACAAATCAGTGGGAAAGAGGATGTAATACATTCTTTAAGATCAAGTATGTGTTGATATGGAGTAACACAAAAACCCATTTTCTGAAGTTGAAGCCTTTTGGGTATTTTATAGTTATTGTTTTTTTAGAAAAGAAAAAAAAGAACTAAGTTAAGCCCCCTCAATTTATCTTGTTCTGTTCAAACACAGCAAAAGAGTTATGTAAATTCGTTATTTTCTCTAGGAGTGTCATCTGGCTTTGCTTTTCATTAAATATTAATACATTCGTCTAGGGGAAAAATTAAATTCCTTCCTTGGCAAATCCTCCGGAAGTAGAAAGTTAAACTGGAGGAATTAGAGCCAGTATTGTCTTCTGGGGAATCTCATCAGAGCAGATCCTTTTCCTGGTCTAGCTTTCATTACATAAAAGATTTTCTGTACTTTCCACAGCCACAGAAAGAAACAGAGGAGGCAGTACAGTGATTCCAGGCACTGACTATGGAATGGAGCTTATAGCTAATCTTCTCTCTGCACCGAGAGGAGGGGAGGAAGGAGACCTGGATGCAGTTTTGTAGTCACTTGCTCTGTCATTTCAATTTGAGTGATAACCTGGAACTTCCTGCTTTGGAAAATGTGGAAAGATCAGATTACTCCCTGTCTGACTTTCTCTCCCCAACACACACTCACCTCTTTTACAGCCAGCTGGCCATTTTCTGGACCAACAATTAGCAGTGAGGTCTCCATGTGGATGATCTCCCTGCTTTGTCTGTCACATATCACTACAACAGTGACTGTATTGCCACAATAATCTCCACAGCTCATGCCTGACCTTTCTCATTGTTCTGATGAGAGGGGCAGGAAAAAATAAAAAGGCAGGAAAAGACCTATCTTCTTGTGCCTTTCTTGCACACTGGATGCATTCTTTTCTATTCTCAAATGCTTTCTGCATTAGAAATTCTGTATTGTTGTAATCTACAAAAAAAAAAATCCATTTTCAGAGCTTGTGATGTGACTCTATTTCAGTCCCTCTTCCTGTTCAGCTCACAGATTTCATCCCCTTTCTTTTTGCCATTTTTGCAACAAAAGGAACTCTCTGTGTTATATCAAAGATCTTCCTAGGGAACTATTCAATTGACTTACTTAAAGACTCAGGTTGTGAGTGCTGCATGTATAGGCCCTTCAAAATGTACAGACACTAATATTTTAAAAGAGTTTCCTCTTCCCTTCTCTCCCACTGGTTCTGATCAGGGAATCTGGACAATGTAAGGTCTTTGATATTTTCCCCCTTCTCTTTGTAAATACTTAATAGGGAACAGGGCTCAGGTGTGCAAACCTGCAGTAAGCATTGAACAAAAACAAGACACAAACCTGAATTCAAATATCACCAATATCTGGAGAGGACTGGAGCAAACTCCAACTGCAATGAGAATTTTCTCCTGCTTTGATTGCCAGGAAACACCTGTGTTGGCCCTGTTCACCACTTCAGGCATGGAAATATCCATCTTTGTTCCATTTTGCTTCCCCAACACAGCACTGTCACATTGGGTTCTCTGTTACTGGTGTAGAAATCAGATGGCTCATGAGGACTAAAAGAAACACGGCTTTGGGCTCAACTCAAATTGCCATTTTTATAGCTAACTGTAACTGTACTGATTCCTTCCCACTGGCAGTGGAATGTTCTCATCAGCAGTGTGACTATGTCTGTTGAAGGTCTCATTTTTATAAGTTGATTCTCTTGGATGGTGGATGAATGTGCTCTCCTGAGCTCTGGCTGACAAGCCATCAGCCCTGGCCTTTGCCCCAACAGGGGACCCCAAGGCAGGCAAGGCAGTGCCCTTTCTCCTTCTCAGGTCACCACTGCACATTTGGCTGTAGTCAGCAACAAATAAAATAAGACTTCCTCTTGCTCTAAAGAGAGTGCAGACGCTGTATCCAGGAATGTGAATGTGTGTGTCTGTGTTTTAATATCAAAAGAAATTAAAATAATGATGCAAAACTAATATGAAAATTCACTACAGAACAATTTGATTGTTCTGGGAAAATATCTCCCATTTTTAATCATGGT